AAGGTCGAAGTGGAAGTGCATATATAGCCTACGTGGTGGCCATTTGTGGACTCTACAAGGAATCACCTTAATGCAACTGGGTGATGTGTTTGAGTGTTAGTGTACTTTTTACCAGCCCGTTATCCGCCATACTTTTTCTACTGTTTACGCGAAAACAGAAGCCTCCAGCAGCAAATTTTGCCGGCGCCGGTGGTGTAGTGGTAAGCGTGACTGCTTTCTAACACTCCAATGGGTCTGGGTTCAATCCCAGCCGAGGTCGGTGAGATTTTTCTGAGGCATATAAAAATCTCTGGTCACGTCTTTCTTCGGAAGGGAAGTAAAGCCGTTGGTCCCGGCCTATGTGTGTTGAATGGGAGCGATATCCTTCGCAGGTGTGGAAGCTGCCTTCCTGCACATTCGATTGCCCGTCAATGGATGGTAATCGATGTCCGTCGGTGATTGGAACTAGATTGCGGAACAGAGACCGACGTCAAATGAAGGAATGAAGAAGAAGTAGAAGCAAATTTTACAAGTGAGTATTTTTTTTTAATATAGGGTAGAGCGCTACTTCGTCGTAATCGCCCATTTCCGTTCTATCGATCAGAAAAGATCAATAATATCATGATTTCACCGTGCACAAATCAATAATAAGTTTGTTCCGAAGCGTTAATTCATTAGCTACAACATAAATCCTATTACAGCGCATTGTATGAATATTTACGCTCATTGTTCTCTAAACAAAAGAAGCGCCCGTAGTGAATCCCCTTTTTCTAAGTTTATCCGTAGGACGAAGAAAATCTAATGGCGTTTCAATGCGTTTGAACGGAATTGAAACTCGTAGAACAAATTTAGAATAAAGAAGCAGTATTAGATTTTAGGCAATATCTCAATAATGTGTGACTCTTTATCAAATCCAACGGTACGTATAGAAAGGTGAATAAATTTAGAAGTTTGACAGAAATTTTCAATTTTTGTTAAAACCCGTTCAAAAAAGAGAGGTAAACCACGGGTTGTGCTTAGTAGGACGGAAATTAGATCAAAAACCGTATGATGTAATTAAGCACATTAAATATATTCTATATTCTAATTTTACTATTGTATAGACTATGGAATCAAATATATCATCAGGATCTGGTCACTTTGCTCAGCAAATTGATCGATCATCCTGCTGCTGGTCTATTAAGGGAATGGCTTCCCCCCGGACGTATTTTGATCCTGCTGATGGAAAACGGAACGTCCATGCTGAACGCTTAGTATCTGTTACTGTTGGAAGGTTCATTTTCATCATCCGGCAGAGTCACAATGGACCTTTTCCAATTGGCGAACATTGTGATCTGATCCAATGGGTTCGATCCTATAGTCCTATCCATCCCGGATGCATTCATTTCATAAAACTTTACACCACAGAGCTATCGAAGTCAATCGTAGAAGCTTCTACTGTCCAGATTTTACCAAGCTACGACCCACGGCATCGATGCATTGATGTGTTTTGGAATTTCTATTTCTATTGATAACTAATTCTTTGCACTCACTATTTTTTTTTTTCTGAAACCTTAAAGAGGAAAAAAAGCGGTGAGAGATCGACCAAAAGGGGTAAGAAATCGACCAAAAAGTTTGAGATCGCACATTTCGCCAAATTTGAAGTTTTTTACCCGTTCTTATGTCATTCCTTCAATAAATTTAGTTCACTTTAAATCCTCATTAATCGTATTGTGTTTCACATCGATCCTGAGGTACCAGGCTGTCCGCAGTTTGACAATTCCAGACGTACACTACCTTACTCAAAACGTGACCACGGGTGCAATTTTTTTCCGCCATGGTAATAATAATAATAACTTCTAAGCTTTTTGAATTTCAAAACCGCGTCCTTCTATGTTTTTTCATTGGCCCACAAAAAATGCCAAACTTTGCTTACTTTTCGGCCATTTGAATGATAACCTCCCCTTAAATGAGCCACATTATAAAAAAGTGTATTCATGGTCACTTATGGTATGGAGCATAGAAGCACAGACAAACAGACATAACACTCTCAAGTTTTTCATCGAACAAGCATTTAACGGTCAATTTAAAAGTATCGTAGTTGGTAGTACCGCCACCTATGGCGCGCATAGTCAATTGTTTGACGTTTACACACTACCGCCATCTGTTCAGCGTACTACCCACCACAGTGTACTCAACAAATGGCGGTAATGTTTTAGTTTTTTTTTTTTTTTTTTCTTTATTATAGAGATTTTTAGCCATAGGCTAGTTCATCTCTTAGTAATGTTTTAGTGACGGTGTTTTACAGTGAGAAATATTCAATATCTTATGTCTGTTTGTCTGTTATAGAAGTATAGCTATAATGCTATATCTATATCTATATAATCTAAAAAATCTAAACGCGCAATTATATATTATTTGCACCTGCGTCGTGCACAGGTTGCACATGTGGACGCAACACCACTGTCATTGAGGAATTCTTCTCGGAGCTTGACCCAATGACCTGACCACCTACACCGTACGACGAGGAGGAGGGAGACAACGCCGAAGGAATGCAAGTTTTCAATGAGGAACTCATAGCAGTGGCAAAAGGGTTGAAATTACATATAGCGCCGGTCCGGATGGTATTCCCAACGTGGTTTTGAAAACGGTCTTCCAGGCGTTCCCAGACATGATCAGGATGGTGCAGCAGAATCGTTTTGATGAAGGTCACTTTCCGGACAGATGGAAGATACATAAAATAGCGCTACTGCCAAATCCAAGCAAACCAATGGGGAATCCAGCCTATATGCTTGCTAGATACAGTCGGGAAACTCTTGGTTATCCAAAGAGCCTGATGAAATGTACGGAGAGTGAGCATGGATAGTCAAAGATGCAGTTTGGATTCCGGAAAGGTGGATGCAATTCGGACAGTGGTTGAAAGAGCCAAGAAGTCGTCTAATTAGAAGCGGAGAATCGAATTTGCATTGTGATAACGATAAACGTCAAGAACGTTTTCAATAGTGCCAGCTGGGAAGCCATCGCTGAGGCGCTGCACAGAATAAGGTTCCCTGACTCCCGGGTTCTGGTCTACGAGACAGACATGGGACAGTGGTTGATTAGGAACACGGCGGGAGTTCCACAAGGCACAATTGCTCCAACGCTCTCGAACAGGATGTTCAACGGCTTGCTGACGCTGAAGCTGCCCAAAGGTGTCAGGATTGTTGGCTTTGCGGATGACGTCGTCTTAACGGTAACACGCGATACTCTGAAAGATGTGGAAATGTTGGCAACCGAAGCGATGTAGACTGAATGCAGGGACCGAAGTTGTAGATAGCCCACCATAAAACGGAAGTGCTATTGGTCAGTAACTGCAAAGTGGTGCAGCAGATACCGAGGCGTTTCTGGCTAGTGTATCTTCGTCAATACTGAGATATGGAGGTCCAGTCTGGGATGCAGCCAAGCAGAATCAAGTGAGGTGGAACAGTACATTCAGGTTCATGGCCATACGAGTTGTGAGCGTGTACAGAATCATCTCATCGGCTATTAGCATCGGCTCGGTGCAAGACAACGAGTGTTACAGGTCAAGTGGCAGCATTAATGAGACACGGTATAGAGAACGGTAGATGGACACACAGGCTTATACCGATTCTCTCGACCTGAGTGAACAGAAAGAATGAAGAAGTAAACTTCCACCTGACGCAATTTTTATCTGGTTGCTTCAGGCAGTACCTTCATCGGTTCGGACAAGCAACGTCATCCCTTCTACACGGAGTGTAAACATGTGAAGGAAACACCGGAGCACGTGGTCTTTGACTGTCCTTTGAGGCAGTACGAAGGGAGATGCCTGCCCTTAACGTGGAGAATGTCGTCAATAGAATGTATCGAGTAAATTCTGTCGGAGCTGTAACGTAAATTGAGAGATGTGTAGTGATCTTGCAACGCCAGTTAGCGCTGAGTTTAAGAGAAGTACATGAGCACAGGAACCATTTAGTGCGTGACACGAAATTCTGGAAATTTCCCCTCTTTTATCGCAATTTTCTTACACGTTGTACATTGCCATAGATTTCTGAACCCCCACAACCCCCTTAGAGTGTGACATAACGAATGATTAATTTAAATGTAGTTTTTCATATTCCACAATCCGAGAGATGGGGTGGGGTGTATTGACGTTTGCATTGACCGCTTAATCAAGAAGTTTTTAAACTACTTTTTACCTCTTACTAACCATTAATGTTTCTCTGTTTACCCATGACCTTATATATGTAGCATTTCTGCATGTGAAATGGAATTTGCATTTTTTTTTTCTGTACTAATAGTTAAGTACATTGTTAAAATAGTCTCGTATTTTGCAGATACGGAAAGCTTAAAAAATATTCATCTCCAGTATTGAATCACCTCTATACCAGTTAATGAACACCCACATTTCACAATTATAATCACTTATTATACGCTCTCAACAGCTGCTCCATTAGCCATATGTTCCTGTCTACAGTTTGAACTTACTTCATTTCGCAATTATGCACCACTACACAGTGAATCCCAACAACAAAAAATCACCAAACGTTATATCCACACGAAAGAAGTTGCGATATGATTTCTCATGAAATGATCTCAGTTTCGTTTCGACTCTCGAAACTTTTCGCTTATTTCTTAATCCAATCTCATTTGAAATCACCGTTCCAGTAGGTTCCACTTTTTGCTAATTTTAAAAGAAGTTACACAAACACTGACTGGCGTGAGAAGGCAAAAAGTATCAATCACACGCTTTTCTTCAGGTTTCTTCTCGTGATCCTCTTAATGGATCAACAGAAAGTGGTACGACCTCTTTTTCGCTAGCCACTACCGTTATCTTATTACTTCCACTTTTAGTTTTCATTACAGAAGATATGCACTCTTTTAGTTTTATCTCACATGATACCCATCGACCAGTGAGCACAAACGTTCAATATGTTTTCTATACATTTTTCATCGAGGGAGAACCAGTTGTGGAAACCATAAATTATTCCAAGTTTGTCGCATATATCCAGAAGTAGGCAGTAGCAAACATCTCTTCAACTTACTTGTTAAGGCAGATGCACAGAACACCAACTGTATAAATAGCGTAAAAATAGACCAATGCACAACCATCAACTTGTATAGCACCATTTTGCTTTATATCTTCCCCTAATCAATAATCTCTTGAATATTGAGTATTAACTGTACACGAAACTGCTTTGAACGGAATATTGGCCGTTACTTTTTTCACCACTGTCAATCACATCGTATCGTTAGTTAGTCTCACTAATGCAATTGCCAAAATTGTATTTTACTGCGTACGATTTCAATAATCCTTGGGAATACTTCCACAAAACTTCATCAGAAACGTACGCGAGCGCTAACTGGAAAGATTCACCGCGAACACGCCGGGTATAAATCCACTTTAAGACTGTACCCTCTTCCTCAAGTGAGATATATCGTGGGCTGAGTGATTCAACCATCCAACGACAACTGAACAACACTCTCGCGTAAAATCAAAACACACCACGACGAACGAACAAAAAAAAGCAAACAACTACACTACTGGAAAGCGCGTGGGTAAAACTAACATCAGAAACGATCTGAACTATACCTTCAAAACCCCATTGGTAACTCGCGTTTGGAAGAAAGTAGGTACATACTCCGAATGTGATCTAAAAGGGGTGTGAGGAAGCTAACCAATACTGAATGATATGCTAACGGCACGCTCTTCTGGAACTTATATGTGGAAATATTTAAATCTATATTGTTGCTATCGGTCTTACACTTACAAATCTTTAATTAATTTAAATTTTTAAAAAATATATTGAAACCTTATAACTATAAAAAGAAAACATTCAATTGGATCAATTGGATCAATTGGATGATTCGAAAGCTCAAAGTGTTTTGATATTGAAATTTAGAAAAATAGCTTTTGTAAAGATGGTGTAAATTTTACCAAACGTTCAGACATTCAAAGTCTGGTAAAAAATACCAAAGTCGATAGTAAATTATAACTGTGAGCATTTCCAGCCCAAAACGCAAACCGGTTGGTCATGAGTGTTTCCGATTTGAATGAAACATTTCTCACGTGTTCGCTGCTACTAATGGTTGCATTTTTCATTTAAATATGATTTTTTCCTCCAGAGTAACTTTTGAAAAGGGCGTATAAAAAATGGATTATTTTTTTTTCAAAAAATCATAACTTGAAAACTATTGATCTGATCAAAATGGCATATGAGAAGAAGTTTTAGGTAGTTAAATTATCTTTGCGGAAAAAATACACTGAAAGAAAATCTTAGTAAATTAGTATTTAAAAAACGTAAAACGATGATTATCTCAAAACACCCCCCCTTCGATCTTTATAATTTTTTTTTCAAGAAAACTGAAAAAATGCCCTAATATTTAGTAAAGAGTGTATGCTGGTAACTTTCTTAAAAAAAAATTTATAATTTTTGAAATTTTTGTTGGTTTTTACAAATTGGTGAAATTGCATATTTTTTAGTAAAATAGTAATTTATTTGGATTCTACGCATAATTTTCAAAAACATTGCATATAAAAACTTTTTTCCTAAGTCCAGCCTTTCTCAAGTTAATGCAATTAAAAAAAATATATAATAATTTTCTACATTTTGGGCCATTTTCAAATGTTAGTCGTGATGTCCAGCAACGAGATGTTTTTCCATGAATATATATTAAAAAACAGACAATTCATTCTCAAATATGGTAGCTGTCAGACTTACCCGTTTCTATTTAGACGCAGCGGAAAAGAAACAAGTTTATAAGTAAATACTCTCAAATATACCCAAATAATCAACAAACCCACTCATGTGCCTTTTTTCTGTCCTCTATTAGTTGTATACCTTTATAGAATTGTGTATGTCATAACAGAGGCTCAAAACATAAACAGGTAAACAAATATGTTATTAAACCTGTAATTGAGATAAATTCTCTAGGTACTTCTCTGACGTATACCATATTGTGCCTTAAGAGCTCATCCCGCGATATCACAACTACATAAAAAGGCACCCCGTGGAGGCTTCTTACACTCACACTTAAAAAAGTTTGCTATAATCAATTGTACCTAATGAAGATAGGTATAATGTCAACATTGTAATTATTCTGCTACATATATATATATATATATATATATATATATATATATATATATATTGGGACGATCTTCACCTGTTCCATTCAGTTCATCTCTCTTAGCGTTTCAAGTTAAAAAGCAAGTAGTTTTTTACGATGGATAACAATTTCAAGTGTTGTAAACCTCTACCTAAATCAATTTCAAAGCATGACACAGTAGCAGTTCAGTTGCTTATCTCAAAAATATTAGAATTTTTAAAGTTGCAAATAACAGTCCAAAAGTGTATTTTTATGTCAGATAGAGCAGCATCACAATACAAAAACCTAAAAATTTTGCTAGCATTTGTGGATTTAAAGATAAGCATAATGTAGAAATTTAATGGCATTTTTTTTGCAACATCACACGGCAAAGGTCCTTGTGATGCGATTAGATGTGCGAGCACATCTATGCGAGCACCCTATAACGAACCCTAAACAACTGTACGAATGGGCAAATAGTCGTAAAGAAGATCTTCAAACAAAAATGTCATTTTGTTATGTTTCTACGGAAGAATACAAAAAGGCTGACACGGAATTTGATCCAATTTTTAAGAAAGTGAAAGCAATTCCTGGAAATCGAAAATATCATTGCTATATTCCAGTTTCAAACAACCAAATTGCAGTAAAAATATTCTCTAATTCAAACGATACACCCAAATTATTCAATGAATTCAAATAATATGAGTTGTAAAATAAAATAATAAATATATTCTGTTTCTTATCTCATCAAATCTTTCATTTGACCACATCAACGTGCTTCTCTTCCGCTGCCTCTAGATAGAAACGGGTAAGTCTAACAGCTACCATATCTGAGAATGAATTGTTTGTTTTTTAATATACAATCATAAAATAAAATCTCGTTGCTGGACATCTCGACGAACATTTGAAAATGGCCTAAAATGTTGAAAATTGTTATAATTATATTTTTTTAATTTGCATTAACTTGAGAACGGCTGGACTTAGGAAAAAAGTTTTTACATGCAAAGTTATCGAAAATTATGCGTAGAATCCAATTAAATTGTTATTTTTCAAAAAAAAATATGCATTTTCATCAACTTGTAAAAATCAACAAAAATTTAAAAAATTACAGATTTCTTTTTAAGGAAGTTACCAGCATACACTTTTCACGAAATTTAAGGGTATTCCATCAATTTTCTTGAAAAAAAAAATTATAAAGATCGAAGGGGGGGTGTTTTGAGATAATCATCGTTTTACGTTTTTTAAATACTAATTTACGAAGTTTTTTCTTTCAGTGTATTTTTTCCGCAAAGATAATTCAACTACCTAAAACTTCTTCTCATATGCCGTTTTGATCAGATCAATAGTTTTCAAGTTATGATTTTTTGAAAAAAAAATAATCAATTTTTTTATACGCCCTTTTCAAAAGTTACTCTGGAGGAAAAAAACATATTTAAATGAAAAATGCAACCATTAGTAGCAGTGAACACGTGAGCAATGTTTCATTCAAATCAGAAGGGGTCGAGACAAAATTGACATTTTTTTTAACGATTTGAGCTAGAAATGCTCCTGTGTAACTTTGCTCTAAGGCCCCTCACGAATTATGCTATTATTTAGCTAAAATGCTGGTCAGAATACAGAGTTATAACATGTTTTAATCGTTGTCAAATAATTGCAACACAGAAACTACCATCAAGATAGCGCTATAAAATGTAGTAACTGTGTAGTATGAACAAGGCATAAGTGCTTATTAAATAATGTAACAAAAGAAGAAAAGAAGAAAAGAAGAAGAAAAATCAATATCGTGAAAATTTACAAAATATTTTGCACTCAAAACGACGACCATAGAACCATAGAACCGGTTCTGGATATTCCAGATTATGGTTCCATAAGGTCAAATTTGATATCTCTCATAACCATATCAAGCGGCATATTAAATAACATCTTCTCGGCAAAATATGGCGAATGACACGTAAAACATATCGCAAACATATCGCAGGTCGTCTTCGTTGCTAAAGTTTTACTCGCAGAATATGATGTTCCGGAGTTACTGGCCAAAATTAATCTGTATGCTCCTGCCCGAACACTCCGTCCGAGAACCTTGCTACATGAAGTAGTACATGCAACCAACTATGCTGCAAAAAGTTCCTTTGTCGCCATGATTCATCAATTCAACGAAGCCTCTGACCTATTTGACTTTGACATCAATGCCTCCAGGTTTCGTCATCGTTTGCTGTTGGCCAATTTTTAATTTTTAATGAGTGACTGCATTTAGATTTAAGTGTTTCATTCAGACTATCAAGTCAGATGGACTATAATAATAATAATAATATAATATAATAATATAATAATATAAAACAGCAACCATGGAATAATATGGTCACCGTAGAACCGGATCCTACATTGTCACATTTTATAACTCTCATATCCATATCAAGCTACACATCAAATCACATCTTCTCGACGAAATATGATAAATGGCATTGAAAACGACATACATAGATATGGCCATCGTAGAATCAGTTCCAGATATTCCGAATTATGGTTCCACATGGTCAAATTTAACATCTCTCATAACCATATCAAGCGACATATCAAATCATATCTAGTCAACGAAATATGACCAATGGCTCTCAAAACGACATTCAAAGAGCCATATGGTCATAGTAGAAATGGTTCTGGATATTCCGGCTTATGGTTCCATACACAGCAAAAATTAAATATTAACATTACATCCAAGAGGATGCACTTCAATCATGTCGAAAATCTCATGTATTTTTATGGCCACAAAAATAAACAAATTTAGTAAAAGCAACGTAATGCCAGTTCATGCACTGCATTAATGATAATTTTGTCCTTTTTTTTTCAAGTAATATTGAAAAGCATCCACTATGATGTGATATTAAAATTAATTTTTTGCTGTCCATGATAAAAATTGATATATCTGATAACCAATAAAGTGACATATCAAATCACATCTACTCGAAGAAAAATGATCAACGGCACACAAAACGACGTTCATAGAATCAAATGGCCTCCGTAGAACTGGTTCCGGATATTCCGCATAATGGTTCCACATGGTCAAAGCATCTCTCATAGCCACTTTAGAAACGACTCTGGATATTCCGAAATGTTGTTCTATATGGTCGAAAATGATTGTCTATCATGGTTATGACAAGTGAAACATCAAATCACATCATCATGAAATATGACCAATGACACTCATAACGTTATGCATGACCATCGTAAAACTAGTTCGGATGGTTTTTTTGTGATGGCAGTGGAAACATGAATAGAGCTAATTGATACATTACAATAGGTTTCTGATGATCCAGGTAATGGGTTTACATTCTGCAAATTCACGATTAATCATTATCATACCATACTACATCATCAAAACAGCAGGCCTGGGTTCAATACCAGTCGGCGCCGCCGGGATGTTCTGAGGCATAACATCTCTGATCACGCCTTCCTTCGGATGGGAAGTAAAGCCGTTGGTCCCCGGTTCATGAGTTGATGGGTCGATAGG